GAAATTTTATGTTACAAAAACTCCAAATTCATATTGATGCATTCGGTGATCTTGTTATTGATATTCTGAATTTAAAAGAATAATAGATATGTAATGAAAGTAAGTTCTCCATCAACTTAGTGAATTGAGTTGATGCAAGTAGATGTGAGATGATGTATGATGTAAGATGCACGCAGTGAACTGCTTGCATCTTACAAGTCACCATCACTGTTTTGTTTCATCATGATAAGCAAACCATCATTTACAACGAGGTTGTAAATGCTCAATTGAGTGATGATTTGTAGTTGAAAATGATGATATTACCTATTTCAATCTTTTATCCAATAAGATATTTCATGTGACTTGAGTTCTGTTACATTGAAAAATTGACAAGGATGATCTTAAATCTTATATGGTATTTTTTATCTAAGTGTAGATCCAAGTTTAAGGATAAATTTGTAGAAACTAAAACGGTGATGTGCTAGAGATGTGATAAAAGTGCTCATGTCAAAAAATACTGCTTTTGTGAAGATCAAATGTGCTAATTCTTCATTAACAAATATGGCTTGAAAAATTTGACCTTGAGAAGTATGACTTGCTATAAGATGTATTATGATGTTAGATGTTTGCTCTATATAATTCATCAAAAGTTGTTGGGTGATTTATGAATCCTATAGTGTTTGTTTGTATCAAATATATTGCGTTACAAAGTTCTTGAAAAATATTAAAAATTTTGGTTTATTGTTTGATGATTTTTTAAATAATGCCAAATCCTTGTTAAGCTATGTTGATGATGACTATGTACAAGATCTGGATTAGAGGAATTCAATAATTTGGTACTTGCTTACACTTGATGATAGTAGCATTAGTTGGAAATGTGATAAACAGGGTGATAATGATGTTGCGATAAACAAGATGATAATGTGACACCTCATTAAATGTTATAAACTCTTAGGTGAGCCTATCACACTAAGAGCTCATATAAGAAAGATGCAACTTCACTGGTTTTTTATTTATTTTCAATTATCGAATCATCATATTATAATGTTAACACTTTGATGTGTCTATATCTTAAAGGCTCTCTCTTAGCATTTTACATGAGGTTGTGAACCTTAAACTTCAATTGTTTTAACTTTCAAGATCATGATCACCAAAGCTTAAAATATGTTAAAAAATTGTAAAGCCTAAATCTGATTAATTAGCAAGAATAAACAAGCTTCGTTAATCTTCATTGTATTCTGATAACTGATAACCTTTTGTATGATCGTAGATTAAAATTACGAGATATGATTAACATATCGATCCATCAAAATTGACTTAGTTATGACATTTTATAATCTTTACAATGAGTCAATAGTTATTTCTTTTGATTAAAAGAGTTTCATCATACCACTGAGATTTACGGCAATTCATATCATCATCATATCACGAAAACATAAGAATTGTTGTTCACTTCATCTCTGAAAGAAATCAGATTGGAATGGCAGAAATTTTGCAAAATTAAATATTTTAAGTTTGATGATGCAATAGAAACAGGCCAAAAAATCATTTAAAGAATGTTACGAACCTTTTAAAAAATGGGAGCAACATATAGATTGCGCAAGTCTTAGACAATATTGATTTTAACTTAACAAAAGTAAAAGTCAAAAAAGTTTTCAAGATGTGTTTCTCCAGTATGTATGACTTAAAGATTTTTTTATTTTTTTATTGTTTTAGATGGTTTTTTTGAAAACACCAAAAAATTTTAGACGCGAGCTCTTAAAAGAATATTGAGAAAATAATTTTTCTATATTTTCATTCTTTATTTTGACATTAAATTTTATTTTTTCAAAAATAGTTGTTGATCTATTTCAAAAATAAAAAATGAAAGTGTGATGATTAATGTAGCATGTATATAGATCACATCAATGTTAGAGCTCATATGTCCAAATCATGAATTCAAGAGTTTGTGTAATTTGAATTTGTAATGAAATTAAAAAAAATATGAAACACTTATATTCTTAAATAAGGAAATATTCCAGAAGATGAGAAAAGACATAATCTTTACTAGATAACCGGATACACTTAATGCTTCTATCACAATTGTGAATAATTCATTGGATACAAATAAATTATGTTTATGAAGTTGATTGCAATGAATAATCATATGCATAGTTGAATCATCATACTCATCAATTTCATGTATAAATCAATAATGAAGCATCAAAACTGCACACATAAGATTTATCAAAAGACAATAGATTCATATCAAGGTATATTGATATTTTATAAATTTCAAATATTTTGTGTTGAGAATGTGAGTATTCAAACACTACAAAAATCAGTGCAAGAATACATCAAAATATGAAAAGCAAATATGGAGACTAGTATTGACTCCAATTTATATAAGATGAATGTGTGAATATATTCATGAAATCACTCATCTTTGTGAGAGGAATGTATATGAATAGAAACTCCTTGATGATAATCATTTTTTGTGCTATTAGTAGTAGGGAATATTGCGCAGATTAATTTGAATGGTTTGGAAAATAAATGTAGTCAAACACATTATTTACTGTATAATGATGACAGCTGGCTTGCAAACTCTACAGTAATAACTTCCATGTTGATAATTATGTTATTTTCCATAAAGCATCGTTATTCACGGAGAATAAAAAGATAGCTTTTGTATAATACTAGATGAATGCTCTAATTAATTTTAGATGCAATATAATATAATAATTTCAATACATGACAACGGAAACTTTGACGCTTTAATAAAAAAAAGGTTTGAATATTATGCCATCTCAATCTAAACTTCCATGTATACATTCAGCCTAGGTTGTCACGTCCAAACACTACATACTTAAAAAAAAAGGGTATGTTATTAGTTGTTAGACAAGTGATAAAGTCACACCTAAGAGAATCAAATAGCTTGTTTATTGATGTGTTTGTAGATCAACATTGTTTGATATGAACATTTGATCTCAATGTAGATAATAATGCAAGTTCATTTCAAATCAGTGAAATTGAATGCATGAAACAAAAGTGATCAGATCGGCCAAAACCATTTATGCACAATCAGGTTTTTCCAGCCAGTCATGGTCAACAAAAAAAACTTATAGTTCTCTTTATTATCTAATATGCGATGTATCATTTTCATTAGGGTGCAATGCAATAGGAATAGCATGGATTTCAATAAACAAAACATATTGAAGGGCAGTAAAGTGTATTTTTAGGTTACTATAAAGCCCAATAAATGTGTGCTAAGAGTGAATTCGAGTTGAAAGTATGTGTACATGCAAACTTGAAGGTGAAGTTGATTACCCAAAAAAACTCAGCATATTACATATTCGTTGCTCCTTGCTGGAAATTAAACATTTAGTGGGATTTCGTAACTTCCAACGATCGATCGTAGCTCAATTTACAACTAAGGCTTAAAATGTAACAGGGACAAAAAGGTAGCAACTAAAGTATATGGCTTCAAGGTTTGTATTCAAGTTAGAATTCAATTAGGAAAGTAATTTTATATTCGATGGTTGAGATTCACTTGGCAACAAAATTCAAAACTTTACTATAGAACAAAGTTTATCGAACTTTTGTTATTAAAACTTTCAATCTTTATTGGAAGACATTAATACTTGATGATTGCAGTGAAGTGAGTATCTAACTAATATTTTGACATAGAAATTTCTTATTGACAATCTGAAGTTATCCACTCCGATTGGCCTGCAAGAGTAATCAAATAGGAAAGCTTTGCTGCATATCTCATGGGCTGTAGACAGATTTTAATCAGTCTTCAACTGAGAAGTTATTGAAAATTTGCTGGTTGCCTTTTTTTTCCTCTCCGTATGCCAATTTTACGATTCGTCAAAGGAGGTGAACAGGAGTTTTTTAACGAGGCTTTGGCTGAATTGCTGGAGGTTCGGTCGCTGTGACAGTGTAGATGGGGCACTCAGATTTACAAGTTGTAGTTGCGGATATCATTGGGATGTGGATTGTGAGATATGAATGTTGTGAACACTGTTTATGTTGTTTTTGAGCAACTACGTCTCCAAGTACTGCCATTTGGTCGGAGGATCAACCGAAAAGCTTCATATCAAGGCTTTGGTTGGATCGGTGGAGCTTAGATCTCTATGACACTATACATATGGTGCTTAGATTTCAGACGTGTACCAGCGGATATTGTTGGGTGGTGGTTTGTGAGAAATACATGGTGTGAACACATTGTATTTTTTTCGTGAGTAAATTAATTTCCTGCAAACACGGAGATTTGTAACAATCTATCTCAAATCATGTTACATGAGCTGTATATAACAATCTTTCCCCTTTAAATGTCTCCGCGGTATAAAAAAGCATACATCATGCAGTGGATGTTTTTACTAAATTCTCTAATTTATGACATGATATTATCTGACGTGTACTCTGACGTGGGGATGGACTGACGAGACATGATGTATGTGTGGTGATAGATTTGTACACTGCGAGACGAAGTCCCATCTTATAGCAAGAGAATTTGTACCGACGTTTCTGGACGAAAAGCATCACAAATCGCAAGTCGCAGATTCAACTAAAGAGCAAATAGTCACATTTTAGAGATAATCTTTCCTTGAGACATCTGAACCGAGAGGACCAGCAAACAAATGTCACAAGGTTTAGAATAGAGCACCTAGTCACAATATACGCGGAGGGGGTTTGACCTTAAACCCCGTCTTGTGAGAAATGACTGTTACCGGGGGCATGAAGCTGCCACGGAGTACACACATTCTTTTATATCATATTCTATATGTTATACGTTAGGTATTGCAGTGACTCTAAGGAATTCCTTATTTGTTCTCCAGCGCGACTTTCGTCATTAAAATAAGAAGAAATGCTGTCTCCCCGGGCCTTTAGTCCCTTTCTCCGACCACTAAAACAAAATACTCAGAAAGCTGAGAACAAATTGAGAGTGTTCTTGGTAGAAGCAGGGCCTAATAAACTGCGAACAATTGCAGAAAGGCGATTGAGGCCACTTGGTGGCGAACGGAAACCAGAAGGGGTTTTCAAACCATCCATCAACGACGAGAATCAATTTGCATTGCGACCCAAGCCAAATCTGCGGCCTGTGCACGTGATCGAACGGCTGAGGTGTGCCCGGTTTTTGCGTCGAGTTGAAACTCGAAACGTGGAGCTCCGTTTTGCAACAAGCACGACTCCAAGACGTCAGTGAGAAGGAGAGAGAGAGGGAGGGAGAGTGGGAGGGGAAGGAAAAGACACAGAAACGCTGAGGATCAAGGAATTGGACGAGCGGGACACCGAATCGATTTCGGGAGCGAGCATGGGATGGGATGGTTGCTGGAGCAGGGTGTGCGATGCGGATGGGATTATACTGGTCAAGGGGTTTGAAGCTAAGTAGATAATCTGATTTAGCTCCTCTTTGCTTAGTGAGAGATGAACGATCGGTGGAAAGAGTGAGGGGTTGAAGCGGGCTTAGCAGCGGGTGTTGAAAGAAGGTTTTGTTTGGGGTTTTGTTGGCGCAAGAAGCGATGGATCAGTGGATGCAGCAGAGAGGAGGGGCAGCATCACAGCAGACTGCATTGTCCCATCTCTCGCAGCAGCAGCAGCCGGTAAGATAATTGCGTGCTTACGAACAAGTCACTGGTTTTCTTCTTGTGTTGGCTGGCGTCTTTGAAAGGGATGGTTCTGTGAAGCCTGAAGCGCTAGATATGGATTTGTTTGAATATACGGAGGTTTCATATCTGGAAGTTATGGAAAGAACGACCGCAATCTCGACCCAAGATGTCCAGCCTCCTGACTCTGGGCCGCGACTCCGAACATGTGGAAGCTATCATGTGTCAACGAAGAGGTTTTGGCTGTAAATTGATCGTACCTCCTCGTTTCCGGTCTTGAGGTTGGGGTTTAACTGAACACCGTTGCAATCTTGGCGCCGGCAGCCAAGGTCACGAGATCAGTAAAATTGGAAATAAGTTGAATAGTGGGCTAGGTTTTTCCTCATCGTCTTATCTTAATTCCTAGGTATAGAGAGGCGTCGATAAGTAGGAGCGCATTATTATAACTTTTTAGGTGTTAGGTTGGAGAAGTGCGGGATGCTCTTACTCCCCATTCCTGATGTGGTGTCTCTCCATGGTCGTATAAGTTCTCTAGGGTTGTTAGTGGACGTCGGAGTATTATCTCACGGCATGGTTAGTAGCTCCCAGTTTAATTTTTTAAATCAATTTGAACCTACTTGTAGCGTAGACTAAAGCCCAGAAGCTTGAGTTTGAGGCCTTTGTCGAGTCCCTGAAGATAGGTATTGGGCCAAGATCTGGTTCTTGTGACAAATTTCAAGTGGTTTAGGAACCAGGTCTGGGCGTTGACAGATTACTTCCATGTTATGGAATTTCACTTCTGTTCTGTTATTTTGAGAATGGCTTTAGAGTACATTCTCTGCAGCTGCTGTCCGGTTATTGCGGAACACATTGTTGGCCAAACACTTGTTCTTTTTCGAGTTGACAGATCCACCTATATAGATTGATCCAGGGAGTCTATAAAATCTTGTTCTAATCGATTTTATTTGCAATGTTTCTTGCTTCTTGTGAACCTAATCCAGACAGACGGCCCGAGCTTGTCATTTCTTTATTCTCTAAGTTGGCCAGAACCAAGGCTTTTTTTTCTGTGTTTGAGAAGTTTCTTCTGATGACCATCTTCTACCCCCAAGTATATTGGACACTCATTTAGGTTGGTCTCTCTTTTGTCTTCTACAGCAGCAAGCGCATCAGCAGGCCGCGCAGTATGTGTATTCCTCCAACTCATACTCAGGACAGCAGGGAGCCGCACCGTCGTCTGCCGCCAGTGCTGCATATGTCCAACAGCAGTCGTATACGCAACAAACTTATGGGCAGCAAAACTATGGGCAACAGGTAGCAATGCGGTATATGTATTTAGCTATAATAGATTTTTCTTTCCCAACCAAGGACCTGATTGCCTCCCGATCTCAGAGTACTTCTGTTCAGCACCTTCTTTCAAATTACTCTATTTGTTCTGTTTACAGTGTATGTATATTGGCCCCCAGCTGAGACATTTCATGCCTACTTATACAGCTTTCATTTAAAAGTATGGAACTGCTCAGTATTCACAATCTTTTGTGTTCAGTAGAAGTGGGTGTTGTTATGTTCTTCCTGGTGTACGGAAGCGTGCTAATACGCCTGGATTCTTCAATTTTGTCTCAAGGTGCAGCAGCAACAGCAGCAACAACAACAGCAGCAGCAGCAGCAGCCTGCTGCGGTCGCTGCCGCTCAGTATGCTGGGCTCTCAACTTACAGTGCTGTTGGAGGCCCTTCGCAACAGCAATCGGCTCAGCCACAATCTGTTCCATGGTCTCAGCAAGCTTCGGCCCCAACAGCACAACCCAGTGATCAACAACAAGGGGCCTATGGACGGTCCACTACGGGTGTTGCTTCTGCAGCGAGCGGGGGTGGTTCATCTGTCGGTGCTGGGCAGTACGGAGGGCAGTACGGGAGTGTATATGGAGCGGCTGCCCAAAGCAACACACCGCAGCAGGTAAGTCAGTTTGCTGGCTTGTGGAGGATAGCATTGACACGGATATGTTAGGTTTTGCGAAGTGTTTGTCACCATCCTCTTGGCAAAGCCTATCGCGATCTTTCTCGTCATCTTTACATCTGAATAGTTTGTTCAACACTTCTGATTGAGCTTCTCCAGCTTACCATCCTTATCTTTTCTGTCGATCTTCTTAGCCCGTTCTAGCTCCGCTCAGCTCTATGGTCTTCATGTAGGACATGAAAATACTGAGGAGAATATTATCGAATTAAATTGAATGAAACGACTCTAAACAAACATGTGCTTATTTTATCGTTGAACAGCTTCTTGGACCCAGCGGAAGGGGTGTAGCTTCACCAGAGTTCCAGGCGCAAGGAGCTGCAGGGAGTAGAGGTTCAGCAGCATACGGAGCGGCGCAAGATAGGGCCATGAACACAGGAGCTTCTTATGTAGTTGGAGGAGCCGCTTCGGTTAGTGCGTCCGGAGTCTACGGAGCCGATGCTGCCAAATACGATGATACGGACAAGTACGGAACTGGTGCATCGAGTGCCAGCTACGATGGGAAAGGCGGTGATTATGGAACAGGGTCATCTCCTTCCGCTTACACTCAAAAGGCAGCCGATCAGTATGGAGCCAATTACAATATCAAGAGCTCAGATTACTCTCAATCCGAAAGAGGTCAGTATGGGCACAATCAAGCTGCGTACGGTCAGGCGGACTCGCAAGGTGGAGTTGGAGCCCGACGATATCAAGAAACCCATTCCGCTATGGCGGTTGTACAAGCTCAACAAAGACAGGTCTTTATTCATCACTCTGAACTCGCATGACGGAGAGTTGCATCGTACTAGCTGTCAGATGCGATATAGGAACATAAACTGTTAGTTCCTCATTTCATCTGTGTCTTGTATATGACAGCTTGCATATTGCCCTCAGTTCGTTGTAAAGGCATCTAGAGAGTGCACAGATTGCTTGCACGTATTTTCACCCCTTCTCACTGTAACTCGGGCTTTTCGTTTTGTCGTCCGTCCTCACGGATTTTTTCTCCGGGATGCTTACATGTGTAGTCGTTTGAACGTATTTATCACCCAAAGACCCGCTCTTGGATTTTCTGGATTGTCTCAACGATTCGTTAGCGGTCAATTTATGACCCTTCCTTCTCCCAGCCACTGCTTACCTCACACTCCTGCATTCGCTTGGATTGGAGATGCATGACCCCGTGCATGACCATTTTGAAGTAATTGCGCCATGGTAACAATCAATTGGTTCATTACGGCATAATCTGCAGAAAAGGGGTTGAAAATTGCCTCTCGTTTACTTCGTTCTCCTCAATACGCTGTCAGACCTCTGGCGGTTTGTGTATATTCATACATCTGTCGCGGTCTTCCTTGAACACTGATGTTCTTTTATCTTTCGTAAAGTATCCGGTCCAGTGAAAGATAAATCTACCGATGTTATAAGCTTGAAACGTTTCTTTACCGTCAGCGTTGGTAAGAGATGTTGTGTGAGCTGCTGGTCACGGTGTCCACAGTTTCTAGAATTTCAGCTGTGTTCATCGTCTTGTTAATGATCCCGTTTTGTTACAACTACCCACATTGAGCTTTTACATGTCGAGACCCTGCTGGGTAAACTGAGAAGTTCAGCGTGTCATGTCTGTCCTTGACACTGGATCTATCTTTGATCCTGGCAGCAACAGCAGCAGCAACATCAGCAGCAGGATCGCCAAGACCAGCAGGTATAGCGAAATTGCGAGATTTATTTTACCGTATGGTTATCTGGATCGTTCATACTTCGCTTTTTTTCCATCCACTCTTGTGTCGGTCAGCAATTTCGGTTCACTGAGCCCAACGGTTTTGGTCATGGCTAGATGACAGTTTTTTATAGATGAAGGTTGTTTGCGAAGGTTTGGTATGTCTGTGTACAGTGCTAGTCGGCACTTGTTTCAGTTTCCTAGCCACCAATATTCTAAGATCGTCGTATCTAGCAGGTTTTACCTCCTAGATCTTGCTGCTGTGCTCCACATGCTGATCTTGTTCTAGTATTGAAGAACAATGCATTCTGCGAACTTCGCAATGGGATACAAACGGCTGTTGTTTGCTCTATATCTTGAGTTTTTAATTTAGGAGGAAAGAACAACACAGATGTCTGTATGTAGAATAGACCTGACAGTCACCTTGACAGTATCAATGCCTCTAGACTTGACTTGCGCTTCAACTAACTTCAATTTCCGACCATTTGTGAACAGAAAATAGAAAGTAATCCTGGAAGCCTGCTAAGAATATAACAGACGTAATGTTTGAGGCGAGCTTCTTCGGGAGTTCCTTATTAGTTTGTAGATGCAGATCAGAAAGTAGTTTTATCTTTTGAACGGCATGGTTCCAGGTGTACTGGACTTGAGAGAAACACAGTCTGCCTCAACGATTTAAGGAAAATTAATAAATGTGAAATCGTTTATCATCAGATTTGAGTCAAAGTTTGTGGATAGTAAACATCCCGATCATGGTTTTCTCTGCAGAGCCAGATCCTTAGACAGCAGCAAGTTCTCCAGGCGCAACAGGCTCAGGCCAATGCAGTACTTTTGAATAGAGGAGCTGCTTCATCAGTTCTTGATGCGGGTGGAAGGTATGACATTTGGAATAGATCTCTACTGTTGTACAAAAGTTGACGATGTAAGGATGAATATGCCAACATCAGAAATAGTGGATTAGAGAAAGAGGGCGTTGTTGTATTATGCCGTCAGCTTTTGAGTGTAAAATGCCAGTTATGTGGTCTAAATGGCAACTTTCATCAATATCTTCTTGTGTTTTTGGCAGGAATCAGGCAGAATATCTTGCTGCCTCTCGTAACGTTCCTGCAAGAGTTACGGGGGCTCAAGAGTATGGCGGACAAGTGAGGGGTTTGCTGGGCCAGACCTACGGAGTTAATAGGTCCGAGACAGACCCTGGTTTGTTGGTTTCACAGTATGGAGTTGCCGGAGGGCGTTCAACTGGGAACACAGGCAACAGTACAGGATATGGCGCACAGCAACAACAAGCCGCTATGTATGGTGGTTTGAATGCCGGTAGAGGTATTCAAGGTCAGATGTATCCTCATAATCCTCCTGCAGTGGGATATGGAGGTGTTCAGTTGCCACCAGGAAGAGAGTACAGTGCAGGGCGAGGGACGGGTGGTGGCGGCTATATTGCCGGGGGCAGTCGTTCCGATCGTCCAAGCATTGGCAGTAGCAGATTCGAAGATAGAAGAGATGACAGAGGACCTCCTCGGCGCGATGGGCTGCGAGATGATAGGAGAGGTGGAAGAGATAGAGACAGGGACAGAGCAAGGGGAGGAAACAGAGACAGAGAACGCGATCGGGATAGAGAGCGTCGAGAGGAGCAACGTAAGCGGGAGCGAAGCCCTGTGAGACCAGTAAGAGACCACAAGGAGCCGCCGCTAAGCAAGCGAGATGATAGAAGCAGTCGGAAGGAATCTCCTCGTCGAGATCAACCTCACAGGTAAGGAGTCTGCCCTTTTAAGCCCGAGCTCTACACATCACACTTGCTATTGCCTTGTCAATCAGTAACTTGTTGACGCCGGAGAGCATGGGTTTTAGCGTAGCAGCCATATGTTCTCCACCGCTCACTTGATATCGTTCATATTGAAACTTTTTCAATACTGACTGGGTCTGGTGCAATGTTTTCCAAGAATACCGTTTTAAGCTGATCTGTATTGTTTGCTCCTATCTAGCAGGGTAACTTCTCCTGCAAAGGAAAAAAGAAGGGAGTACCTTTGTAAGGTGTGTTCACTGACGACATTATCCCTGCTGCGAATGAAATCACTACTTCTGAGTGCTCGTATTTCCTTGTTTTGTTCACCTGTTGCCTGTCTTTATTTGTTCACCTCCCTTGATCTAGTTTAACAACCAGTAGAAGGGAGTACCTTTGTAAAGTGTGTTCACTGACGACGTCATCCGTGGATGTCAATGAAGTCACTACTTCTGCTTGCTCGCGCATCGTGTTCCGTTCACATGTTGTCTGGCCATTCCTGTTCCCCTCGCTTGACATAGGTCAACCAGCGGTAGCAAGTTTGTCTTCTCTAACAGGAGCCACTTACTTTATGGCCTTCGTCGCATGAAGTTAGTTTGATCAATAGTTTGATCAATGCGTTTGTGATGCATACCATATTATTATTTCTTTCAGCCTATAGCATCAAATCGAAAGATGATCGTTGTGTTCGTTACAGTCAGAGTTAATTTGTCTTCAAATACCAAGTCTCTCACTAAGGTTGTTTAACAGGTTGAGCCATACATTTTTGGAGAAGCTGAGAGGGACTACACCTCTCTTTGCAAGCGATACTCGAAATTGTTTGTAGTACCAGAGTTTGCGAAGGTGAGCACAATACTTAGTATAATCATTAGTGTTTATGGTTTTGACACCATTCTTTCCATTCGACGCATCTCTTTATGTTCCTTTGAAGTACTATAACGCTTGTTGTTTTTATTTTCCCTCTCCTTACCAGTCATTAATGTCATGAAATTTGGAACCTTTTGTAGCTTGTTGTGTGCTGGACCGGGAAAGACTCCCAAATTTGTCTGAATCAGCCGATCAGGTCTGTTGTCATCACTCCTTCCAGCCTCTTCTTTATATGTTTGTCATTGTTTGTGAAAATTAGCGAGGTTTACTCCGTATTTGGTGCTTCTCACGTAGACTTACCTATGGCTACATATATGCATCATGATATTGGATCACATGGGGGAGAGATTTGGAATTTGTCAGCTTCTCGGTGCTGCTGAACATTTTTAGTTGTATCCCAGTCCAAAGTATTTTTGTGTACCGTCAGCGGTGGATCTTGGCTGAAGAAATCGTGTTGTAACAATATTCTTACTTGTGTCATTGACATAGTGCGTCCTGAGATTGAGAACTTTGAAACTTTGACAATCGATGAAAATTAGATCTCTGAAAATATGTTGAACGGTGCTTGTCTTGTAATTAATTAAAGGCTTCAATGCATGAGAAAAGACCTCCCTGAATGAGGTGATAGTATTACGAATACTGAGCTTGTGAAGATGGTGAGGGCCATGAGCAGAATGTGTACCTTCTGCAGAGAAGTTTTAGAAAAGCTTTGTGTTTGGGATGCAGCCTGCTGAGGCCGGTGCTGAATGAGTTACCTAACCAAAACGCTGACAACGTACGCATTATCAACCCTGATCTTGAATGACAAATTCAACGTTGATCTGGTATGGGATTTGCAACAGCTTCGAGCACGATGCTGTAGACGTAGAGGATGAGGGCGAGTCCAAGCAGGCTCCACCAAAGTCCTCTGACAAGGTTCTCCCTTCTCCAGCGACTAACTCGACGAAGGGCACTACCACGTGGAACGCCAAGGTAAAACCACGACGGAGGTTTGGATGGCGACTATCAGAGGCAGTCTGACTGAGCCCGTGCTCCTGGAGTTCATAGACCAAATTGCGTTAAGGGAAATGTTAATTGAGATGCAAATCTGGAGTTGCGATGATCTTGGAAGGCTATTAGGCGGTTGCGTCGCTCTTCTGTATCATTCATCCTCCTCGATTATTATCTATGAATTTACGCTCGATGTCCAGCTGTGCTCACTGTGAGCAGACCTGTATGTGTTTTTCATCATACCTTTTACGTACGTGAGCACGATGACGAGCTGGAATCGTAACGTCCAGTGGAGATTTTCCAATTGAACTTTTATCTCGTTGTGTTGAGTCTCTTAGTCGATAATCAGCAAGCTGAATATAGTGGATAGCAAACTCAGGTAAGTTTTCTGGTCAAGGTAGTTATGTTGGCCGTCCGCGTCTTCTGTTGGGACAGCATTGGACCCTCAGTTGCCTTTGCAACACAACAATTCGTGTACTTCGTAGGTTTTCTGTCAGCCTATTGTCGTGTGCTTCAAGCGAGGTGTGGAGTATCTCGTATGAGGCGTCCCAGCCGGCTCAAACTTGCCGCATGACATTTTCTACAATGAGATGATGTGATTTTCGGAACTGTTCAGGCGGAGCGTTTTGGAGATAATAAACGGGTAATCTTGTCTTTTTCAGGTGATGCTGATGAGTGGATCCAGTGAAGCAGCTCTGAATGAGTTACTCGTGGATGACAGTCCAGACGAAAAGCCAGCCCACCTTCATAACCTTCTGAAGTTTGTGGCCCTTCGTAAAGACCGAAGTGCAATTATGGCTGCCGGAGGTGTCTGGGATAAGGAACTTGATGGTGGAGATCCTGCCATAGACGAGGAAGCCCTCATACGCACAGCTATAAGGTTTGAGAAAACATCCGATATTTCTTTTAGGCGAGCAATGCACGACTCACGTATTTCTTGAGTTTTAAATTGTATGTTTTTGTTCGAAAGCGGGAGAAGGTTTAATTCGTCGTTCACTATCTGAAATTAGAGATTGTGATGTTTCTCTTCAATGTTTTGAGAAAGTTTATTCTGGTCAAGACAACGTATTTTGGTGGATTTTAGTTAGTGGATTCAGACTGCCACGAACGGTGTTTCGCATTGGACTCTCTTTCTGAAAGTGTTGCTAGTTTTTTCGCCTAGTTGTAGTGCCACATAAGTTGAATCTTCGTTGTTGGTCTCCACTCTCATCAATCTTTGTGCGCAAGTCTACATTTCCGAATTATTCTCAGAAGTCCTATGCTTTTCAACTTCAGCAGCTCCGAGGGTTATTTGATATAAACTAACTGCTAAGTGTATATCGGGATACTGAAGACCATATGTCATTAATTTGTCGTTGGATCGTAAAGAGTCGAGTGAAATGAAGATACCAAAGTGCTCTGTGGAAATGTAAGTGCTTTTGTTCAGTGCTGTCGGCATTTACCTTTTGTATTGTGTGATTCCAAAACAGATGCACGAAGCAAGCTACCCAGCTAGACCTATCTCAATGCAAGAATTGGATTCGGTTTCTGGAGGTAAACGGAAGGCCTTTGACCCAGTGTAGGCAGTTTTAAAGTAAGAAACATTCAAAATTTATGTCGAGGAATTTGACAGTAACTTCTTAGTTACTAATGGTGCAACAATATTTAAACTGAATGTAGGTACACTATGAAAGGCCTGGAGAAGATGGACTTCCAAGTCATCGGGAAGTTACTGTTATGTTTGTACCTGACCTCTCGAGCTGTCTTCCGCTTTTGGGAGATTGGCACCAGCAGTGTACTCTATGGCGGCAATCAAAGCTTGAGCGTGAAGGTCAAGCCAAAGCAGAGAAGGTGCTGTGAAGCTGCTACTTCTTTCTTAGTGAAGGCCTCGCAGGACAGACATCGTGTCCCAGTTTCACTTCCTTATTTCTTTATAGCTGGTCAGTCTCACGGTCATTCAAAGTTTTCTGGCATTAGCTTGATACTCACCGTTTCTCTCATGTGCAGGATGGAAAATCTTCCGAGAATAAAACTTCAGTCAGGGAAGGTAGGTGCTATAATCTTTGATTTCCGTCAGTCATTAATCTGTATGTTGCGACTATACGCGCTGAAGCTCTTTGGTTCTCCATTAGTTTTTGACTCTGGTGCCTTCAAGGACCTTAAGTTTCAGATATCTGTTCTAGTGCGCATCCTCTGGGAAGCAAAGGCCATTGCCAAGTGCCACATATCTCTATCTGCTGTCAGCTTTTTCTATTTTTGCTTCACGTTGTGACTACTCAGATCATGGTTTTATGTCCTTCAGGTGACAGTAATGGTAGCATTAAAGATGGTGAGACAGAAACTCTTGACGAGTCTAAGGACGAAGTGGAAAAGGAGAAGGAGAAGGAGAAGGAAGTCGAAGAAAAGATCGAAACGAAGGAAGAAGAGGTAGAAGGAAAAGAAAAAGGAACGGAGGTCAAGATCGAAGAGGAGTTACCTCAGCAATCTGGATTTATATTAACAACACAACGAACCAAGACTACCAAAGTAGGCCACATTGCCCAACTTTCTATATTAGTTGACAACTGGTCACTTGCTTTTGTTTAAGTCTGTTTGTATGTTTAAGATTACTGGGCGTCCTCGTGGTTTTGAGCTTTCGTATGTTTGAAAAAGTATTGTACCAGCTTATAAATTTGGAAAGTTAAACGTAAAAGTTGGATGCTGTACAGATGCGGTCGATGACCATATCTTTGGATGGCCTCCTCGACTATGACGAAGAGGATAGAGAGGAATGCACGTTCGAGGTAAGCCAACATAAGTCGCCATGCAGGATGTTTTTTAGTGTAGAGTCGAAGGCAATAGCAATTTGGTCGAGCTCATAATTATTTGACATATATCTAGGAACCATAATTCACTCACTTATGTTCTCCGTGTTGTATCGTAGCTCTCCGTCTTCGCCGAGATATACCAAGAAATGCTGCAGTGCAAAATGGGCAGTCTTATCTTATCGGACATTGAGGTGCGCGTTCCTTTTTGAGGACGGATGGAGCCCGCAATCTTTTAGATCATGAGAGAAGGAATGGGTTGCGTGAAGATGATCGAAACTTGCAGACCATCTTGTCTGAAAGTGGATGGATTGCATGTTTGATTAAAGAGAGCTGTAGGAGGAAAGCATTACATAATTGTTTGGGGAATGTTTTTTGCTGTGGTTTTAGACATCGAACTCACTCACCTAAAAGCATTGAGGCTTGTGTGTTGGGGTAGAACTTTACTCTGAACAAACCTTTACTGGGTTTCCTCGATGTCCAGATACTGCGTGAAACAACTTACGCTCGTAAGAAGGAAGAGAGGAAACGTGGGCGCTCAGAAGCTAAGGATGAAATATTCAAAGACGTGGAAGGTGAGGGGTCTTCATCAAGGAAGCGCAGCAAGTTCTCAGACAGGGCCGGGACCCCAGAGCCTAAGGTCGATACGATTAAAGCTGAGGCCGTTCCAGAGTCCAAGGTGGATAGTGTCCCCGAACCTCTGGTTGAGGTTGTCACGGAACCGAAGGTGGAAGAGGTTCCCGAAGGAAGGATAGAGATAGAAGCAAGTGATATACTTAATGCGAATAGCGAAGAAGAGCTAAGGAAATTGCAAGCAAGAAGAGAAGAAGCCGCAATGGAATTAGAGAAAGCTAAAGCTGAGGGACATGGAGAGAAGGCGGAAGAGAACGGGGTTGTTCATAAAGAGGAGAAGAAAGAGGATGTATTAAATTTGTCTACAGAAGGTGAGGAAGCTAAGGCGGTCAATGATTCCGTCATCGCAGACGATATGGATGTAGCAATAACAACTGCTTCTTCAGACGTCGACATGAAGGATGCCGCTGCAAGTAAAGATAGAGGTTTGGAGGTGAGATTACTTCTCTTTATTTGTCGGTCGTTATGGACATTTTATGTGGAATGATTGGTTAGAGAATTGATTTCTCTGGAGAGTACTTTCAGGAGTAAGTCTCCGGATGCGTTGATGTTATCAAAGAGAGTCTCGGGAAAACTTAGGAAATATTACACCAAGAGGAGACGTACACTTGAGCTGAGAATGGTCCGCTTTTCTCGAGTTGTTTGTACTGAATCGGGCACATATGGAAGACGTTCTACACTGTCTCCATGAGTCATCTAGTTTGAGGGCGAATGTAACAAAGCTACAGACTTGTTATGTAGATTCCAGTATGTGAAAAAGATCTGGACTGAATTGTTACATCGTTATTTAAGGTTTTACAACTAGGTGACTATTCTTAGATGAGCTTATGAGTACGTTGCGTCAATATGCTTCTTACTGACTTCCGTTGGCTATGTCGTGCAGGATAAGATAGATGAGAAAAAGCCTGAGAAGAAACACATAATGGATAGAGACGTTCTACAGGTTGGTGCCGCCTAACGCAGTCTCGGGGAAAAGTTGTTTGTTCCTTCACTTACCACTGTTAGTATCATGCGTATTCCCTCATAGAAGTTTGGTTACGCCAGTCTTTTCAGCAGAGAGTAAATCTACGCTGACATGTATCTCATGTAAATGCAGGCTTACCGATATTTTGATAGGAACCGAGTTGGCTACTTGAAGGTATCAATTTATCGACTGCAGCTATCTAATTTTCTCGATTGCTTGTTTTGAAGCGGAGCTTCACATTGTTCAGTTTTATATTACGTATGTAGTTGCACAGTATGTCTAGGATGAGTTGAATATCGTCAGGAAATGAGGATTTTGATCTGCATCGTTGGGGACGGATCTCGCCTTCCAGTAAATTCTTTTACTGAATTTGAATTATGTTATGAAAACTGCGTTGTTAACTTTGGAATATGATCGGATTTCAACCAAATAGGCAGACGATTTGCGGCGGATCTTGCATGGACTGGGGAAGTTCCTCTCTCAGCGGAATGTTAAGGTATAATTGCCCTATCATATCTGTTTAGATCTTGGAAACATTCCAAATTGCTCAATGAGAGCAAGCTTTGCGAACACGAGCTGTAGGTGTTCATAGTTAACATTCAATTTTTTTTACTTCTCTCATTTGATCAGTTTGCATCTCTTAGATCGTCATATAACGAACTCCGATGCATGTCTTCTTTGACTGATCACCAGTGTTTCTTGTTGTGGGCAGGATCTTGTAGCTTGCGCTGTCACAGAAAGTAGTAAGTCACGGGATGAACGCATTGTCTACCGGAGCTTCACTGAGAAGGATGCACCTGTTGAGTAACATGGCTAGGCCTAAATTTTGTTGATTAGATACCACGCGGGGCTGGGAAGTATCGTGCCTTTTGAAATTTTGAAAGACCAGAATTATAGGGCTTTGATTACTACGGGAGCTTTACGAATTCTGTATAAACGTCCTGATGACTCTCAAATGGGCACGTTCCCAGCAAGTGTTCAGAACAATAGAGTACTTCGGAATCGAAATGTGTAGCTTACTCAGCATGCTTTTAGCGGTTTCTTTGAGATCCTGTGGACTTGTAATAGAAATGTCTATTCGTCACGCTCTACTGCATAATTTAAACCCTTTTGAAGGAGCTCCTTACTTGGTTGGTGAATGTGAAAGATGTTTCGCACCGCTTATCTATGAGTCTTTGTGATGCTAATATTGTTTGAAACTTTTGATTGTTTCCACGCTTTCTTGGTTACTTTCCAGCATCTGTTCCCTCTGCAACGTGTTCTAGCAAGTCAAATATTTTTCTTAAATTCGAAGGAATCTCACTGAATCTTAATCAGTCTTATCCGTCCCCGTAGGGGCAGTGATTTTGTACTGTTTGCGTTCAGGAACCACGTGGGATGGATTGGCTTGAATACTCTTATCAGTTCAAAGGGTCAAGCCAGGAGGCAAGAGCATGCCTATTCACGACAGTTTGTTGACGTCAGGCCAAGGTTACGATCATACTGTAACTCTGCTAGAGGAATGGAAGTGATGGGTGTTAGATTGATTCGCATGTATGTTTTCTGAGTAGCTCAATTGTTGGTTTCTGTTTTCCTCGTTGGCAAGTGTTTGCTCTTTGAGTGAGGAAACACGATCATCTGCTGGAAACCTTGCTAGCATGCAAAACATTTGGCCTCCTTGTCCCGTAAACAGACATTTTGGATTGAGATTCAACAATGCTGAAGATTTTCACAGAGTTTGTGGGGCAATAGCCTGCTTATGTTTAGTTCGGTGATGTATAATTTCACCTCAGGACTTATGGATGAGCAACGAAGTCATGACAAAGCAGCTGTCACATACCTTGAAGTGTATCTTGTGTGTATCTTGAGTCAGTCTTGAGTATGTGGGTTCTGTAGATGCATAACATCTTTCAATGTTTGAGACCACTCCGTAATTCATTCTTTATTAGACAAAGTTCAATAACAATTGTCATTGCCAAATGGTTGAAGTACACTGATGGATCTCAGATAATGTGCTCTTGATTGTTGCTACAATTGCATGTTTACTTCGCCGTGCCGAGAATTATCTTTTAACCGTGAATTGCAACACTTCACTCACACTTTAAGATATGGAAAAAGTATGGGACCCTTACTTTGTAACATGTGGAAACATTGTAGGAAGAGTGATCAATTTTCTCCGGCGCGTCTTGGTAGATGCCTGATCCATTTTGTATAGTCCACCAAAAGCTGAGGAACTCAGTCCTCGGTATATTGTGCATGCAAATTGTACCACATGATAATGAAGCAGAGTTGAATATTCTTTGTGTTCCTGAGATAGAAGTACTTTTCCATTATATCATAATACTTGGGTCATAGAGCGCATATTTTTTCAGGCAAAACATTACTTTGTGAATTTAAGATTACCTTCGGTTTGGGAGCGGAACTTTTACACTGCGTCGAACAAATCATCGATTAGCTTGTAACACGGTGGATGTCAACTCCCTTATTTTTAATTTGTTCTTCATTATTATTCATGGTATATTCGTCTTGAGTTCATTTGAAGTTGTAGATTTCGTTTGTCGACCGGTTATAATCTTTGAATTTTTTGCTTTCGAGCTGCATGCAGTTAGAATTTTACAAAAGAAAATATCACAAGAAAAATAAAAAACGGCCTTTCTTACGGTTGTCTTCTTCTCTTCTCATCTGTTCTGATGCTTGTCAAGTGTTTTTCTTTCTGAAGTCCTATAGTTCTGCCAGCTTCCAATTGACGTATTTTTGTTGAAGGTTTCAAAGTTGTTGCCTACCCATGCGATTTGCTAGGCATTATTTCCTAAACTGCAGTTCTAAATTATGAGTAGAACTGTGCAGCTGGGTAGACGCGGAGGTAACAACGGGATTAGCTCCTTGATTGGCTATATTGTTGGTATAACTTCGTTGGTGAGAGAGGAAGTTGGTCTAACTAGTTTGCAGTTTTGGGCGAAGGGAAAGTGTCTTACGTCTCCACCAGCAAACCTGATGTATCCCAGGTGGCAGAAGGTGGTGACGTTCCAACTGATGGATTCTAGGAGTTCCAGATTTCGTCATTCATGTCCTAGAGTAAGATAGAGCGAGTCAAATGGAAGACCTTCCTTGTGTAGGAAATCCAGGCCTTCCATTTACTAGACTCAAACTTTCTTACTTTGAACTCCTTATACGCACACTTAGATTAGGAAATCTGACTCGGGCGTGCCATCATATCCTATAAGAAGGATCATAGGGAAGTAAAGATCCGGGGACTTTTGAATTTATAGGTATTTTTTGTAACGTCAGGTATAGGTTTTGAACATCGTTTTGTTTCGCCGAATTCATTTGGCGACGTGCGCTGGAGAGGACAGCTGCAGCTCGATGGACAGGATTTCCTTTCCAGCATTTTTCAGTTGTGGGACAGATTTTGCTCTAGTCCCGAGGCCGAATTGTAGAGGGCATGACTTATTCGTACTCCATGACTTAATCTCCTGTGAAATGGAGGTGGAGTATCCTCAATGGTGGGAAACTATCGCCACCTGCTGCAACGGGATATGTCTTTTGCAAAAGAATGGCGAGATAAACAAACGTAAATTGCTTGATGGGACACATCAAGTTTCAATTTACCCGATGTGATCCCATCCGACGGTCCACGTCACATTGTTCTAGTATGAACAGACGTTGCGTAGGTCAATAATAACCGTGCCGAAAATAACATGAAGTGTTATTTTCGGCACCTTGTTCTAGTATGAACAGACGTTGCGTAGGTCAATAATAACCGTGCCGAAAATAACATGAAGTGTTATTTTCGGCACCTGATGTTTTGTTTCGTCGTTCGCATCACACTTCGTGTTACTTTCGGCACCTGATGTTTTGTTTCGTCGTTGGCATCGCTGCGCAAAGTCCGGCCCTGTTGAACCACTTTCTTAAGAAGAATGGCACGGTAACGTAGAGAAGATTAAAAAACAGCTGACTTCAAGAGGAGTAAAGTTCAATTTTTATGCTTGCTAGATCGTGGTGAACGAGCGCTCTCATCTAAACCGTTTAGGTTCGGACACCCATTTATATTCAACCCGGGAGAGTTGACCTAGCTAGTGGTGAATTTCGTGTGAGCAAAATATCTGGATTTTCATAGAAATCTATCTAATCTAAAATCGCGAATTTCGTGTGAGCAAAATATCTGGATTTTCATAGAAATCTATCTAATCTAAAATCGCGTATTAGAATTTATATGTACAAGAACATACTTGTAATAGAACACTTATTAGAATTCTGCAAAATCACATACTCCTTGGGTCCCATTGGGTAAATTGAAATTTGATGTGTCAATAAACAATTTATGTATCCCACCTGTTTTCAAAATAGTTGACAGACTTTTTTTCTACTTTGGGATGCATGGATCATAACAACCGGGCAAAAAATTATTTTTTGAGCTTTTTGGCCTATCATAATCCTACACACCATAAGGTTAGCCCGCCTGAGCGTAACCTCAGATGTGCGCAGGATTACACAGTTCCGAGATTCCATTCATCCTTTTGGATTGGGCCGTAACGCTCCCGCTCTACGCCGGAGGCGCGCTCAAAGAACGGAATAACGCTCTTGGAATAACGTGCCATTTCGGGCACGTTATTCCAAGAGAACTGGGTTCCATATTGATTATTTCATTAGTAAGTAAAGCAACCAAGAACCTGCAACCTTGCTCGCATTTGCTCAGGGGTTGCAGTCTCTTGGATGACGCCTTTCTGCAAAGTGATTTCGAATTGCACCTGTATCTTTCATGACAAGGATGCAAATTTGTAATATTTTATCGGATGTCTCCAGAGGGACATGATGCAATTCTTTTAGAGGTTGGTAAATCACTGCTCACGAGTTAAAATTTGTAAAGACAAAGATATTTTGTAAGGAAAAATAATAAACTTCGAGGGAAGAAATTTACTTGATGGACCTTTTGCTTGATTTACTTGATGGGACCATTCCAATGCCACCGTCAGCCATGTTCTTATAACCTACTGATTTGCTTCATAGAGTGGGGATTGTCCGCCACTATGGGGCCAGAGTATTTTGGCGACTCCGTCGCAGCCATGTCTAAGAAAACAAGGGGCACCATGATTTTGAACCGTGACTTCATCTTTTTATTCGAAATAACTTGGAACATCATTGATGGTGGTCTGCAGGCCGTTGATGGGATCCCGAACATGAACCTATTGGGTACCATCAAGTAATTTACTCTGTTGGGTCACCGAACAAATTACTTGATGGTACCCAATAGAGTGAAGTGACCCAACTTGGCTCCCATCAAGTAATTTCAGATCCGCCAAGTTATTGGTATAATGTGGAGTGTCAACAGTTTAAAAAAGCATGACAAGACGACATAACAAGCACAATTCAATCAGAACATAGAAGAGGACTCGGAGAATTCTTATTGACTGATCAAGAAGCTTGATGATGGCAGAATATATATGAATTAAATTTTATTAATTTTCTGCAATCAAGGTAGAAATTATTATGATGAACTACGTAAGACACTCAAATTAGATAATTATTAACCATTTGTATGAATTAAAAAAAGTAAATGACTAGATACAAAAAAATTTTACATGGACAAACTTGATATGTGATTAAAAGGATCGTAATAATTATTAAATTGTAAAATTAATATATGAATAAAAAATATATTGCTGAAAATGAGTAAATCTATATAAATTACAAATAACATAGACAAGATGACATTTTAAAAATACCATGGACTCTAAAAAGAGAGAAAATTTCATATCGTGAAAATATTGATTACATTTGATACATTCAAATTAAATAAAAGATGATTTGTTATCAGAAGTATCTCACGAGTAAATTTTTTTGGTTATTATGTTACTTTTGTTATATTTACACAAAGCTTGAAAATGTCTAACTTTTCCAAAAATACTTAAAATTTTTATTATTTAATTTTAGTTTGTGATTGATAAATATCATGATAAGATAATGATTGAGAATGATTTGTTTTAGGCATTATTTGTTCCAAATCAGAATTATTCTTGATGAAAATATTTCGTCAAGAGATAATGTATACTAAATCAATCATTAGATAAAATATTTAATTTGTTTACAAAGAAATTAAATAAAAAGAGGGGAGATGAAAACGTTTTGTTTTTATTATATTTTTAATTCTTATATATATATATATTTCAAAATATTTGTAAAATAATATATTAAATTTCAGTAAGTTTTGTACGTATGATCAACCTACTTGACCAAAAATTTATAAACTATGGTACTGGTATTCTCTGTAGTGATGATGTTACGAATTATCCAATTACATGTGTAACACTCGTATAAGCTATTGCAAGGCAATATTTGGGTTGGCGTTGTTTTATCTCTACAACCAATGTGCTAGGGAAGAAAGCAAAGCTCGTGTAAATCAAATGTGGAGGAACTAATAGAGAAACGATGGATAAAAGGCCAGAGCCTAAGCGCTGCCAACGGGAAAGGAGTATCCACAATCTTGGGCATTTCCGCGCTGGCCATCTTCTTATTGGATCGCGAGATATCCAGCCAAGCTCCGAGGCGATGAGCCACTGCCCGACGGTGGGCCGTAGGAAATCTCACTCCGAAGACTGTCGGAAACACTATCTGATCGCACGAACGCGACGGCGCACAGTCACGTCGTCCTTATTGGCGAGCGAAGGCGCGCCTCTCGCTATCCACAATCTTATCTCGGTCTTTTCGATCCGCCACGTGGCGCCTCTTATCTGGCCCTAATCTGGCGCTGCATCGCACTAATCTCGGCGTAAGCAAAGTCCCGTCTACTCGGAGCGTGTTCGACTCGCCAGATCGACGCCGATTAGTGGTGCATTAGGCGCTAAGTGAGAGGTTAGCGGAAAGCGTGATTAGAAGCTAATCCGACTTTCCCGAAGAGCGTGCTTTTGTTCAGTAGAACATGCGTCGGGCACAATCAGTCGATAGTTGAAGAAGACGCAGAGATTCTGCTGTCCACTGAGGGAGATACGAAGAGAGTGAGTGAGCTCGATTGAACTGGCAAGCGAGATCGGTCGAACAGTTTGAGCGAAGATGGCAACCGCAGCTATGGTGAGGGCCGGTGGGTTGCTGTCCCTTCAGCAAACTGCCACGAAGAATGTGGTGCGCAGCTCGTTCGTGGGCTCCGCTGCCCCTCTGAGGTTCAGGTCTGCCTCCAGCTCCGTGAGCGTCCGCCCCATGAGCATTCGCGCAGGAGCCACCACCGAGGGCAAGGTATTGCACTCTCTCGAACCCGAATCGCGCACTATAGTATCATTTTTGTTCGTGTCCCCCCGCCATAGCTTGCCGCTTGTCCACTGTCGTTCGTCTCGATGCTTTTGGTGGCTCGGCACTTGCACACCCCTCAACTGTCAAACGATGATGCTTCGTTTCGATTTTATTCTCCGTCTTCGATCACCACTCTGTGTTGATTGACTGCTGTTGTTTCCGATTCAATGTGCTGAACATACTGTCCCGATTTCTCGCAGTACCAAGTCGTCGAGCCCTTGAACGGAGACCCCTTCGTCGGAGGACTTGAGACCCCAGTGACCTCATCGCCATTGATCGCGTGGTACCTGTCGAACCTGCCCGCCTACAGAACCGCCGTGTCGCCACTTCTGAGAGGTGTGGAGGTCGGTCTCGCTCACGGATTCCTCCTCGTCGGGCCTTTCGTCAAGACCGGACCCCTCCGCAACACAGACATTGCAGGACCCGCAGGATCCTTCGCCGCTGCCGGTTTGGTCGTCATCCTCTCGGTGTGCCTGACCATGTACGGTATCGCCCAGTTCAAGGAAGGAGCTGCCTCCATCGCCCCGAGCTTGACCCTGAGCGGAAGGAAGAAGGAGGCCGACAAGCTCCAGACCGCCCAGGGATGGGCTAGCTTCTCAGGAGGATTCTTCTTCGGTGGCTTGTCCGGTGTCTACTGGGCTTACTTCCTCCTCTACGTCGTCAACCTGCCATACTTCGTTAAGTAAGTTGAGACAGATCTCTCTTGACGAGCAAGCTCGAAGTGCTGACGGGATCCGTTGGCTTCTGATGGTCCGTGATCTCGAGGCCGTCCCTTGTACTGATAATTTCCTCTAAATTGCACTTTGTACACATGTTTTTTCCTGGGCTAGAGATTCTCCTGGACGGTCAGGCGCTAGTGTTCTGTGAATGTTGTAAGGGATATTCAAACGTCGTCTTTGATGACAAAGGGGAGAAAACTTTCCTCTTAGCCTCCTGTTCAGCTGATCCAGGACCCTATTCGTCGAATTTAACTTCAATGTGCCTTGATCTGATTCGTACTCCAGTAAATTGGCAACTATCACTTGAGCATAGTTTTAAACTGACCATTTTTTCTCTGCTTGTGATGTTTGTTGCTTTCATCCTGCCGGAATGCTTGCTACAACATATTGCCGTAAATGTCTTCACCCGTGTTGGTGAATAGTGATTAGTCGATGTGCGTGTTTATGATAAAGTGAATGTTGAATTGTTTCGATCAGAAATACCGCACTCTAGAGAGGAAGGAAATTGGAGGAATGGCAGCAAAACACCTGGGGGAATGACACCAAATATCTTACTGATAGCATGAAAAGAATTTTTTAAGCGCGATGGTCGTAAAAAAAACCTTGTTTATTTGGCCGAAATAAGCAAATCTCAACGTATGAAAAATCTGAAGTAGAATGTGAAGAAAAGAAAAAATGTTACTTTGCCAGACATGTGAAAGTAATGACGGGAAAAATCCCGAACGAAATTCTGCACTATGGTTTTTCCTCGCTGGAAAAGATAGGTACAGCTGGTAGTAACGAGAGTATTCGTATGAACCGTACGAAAAGAGGGCAAAATTAATCATGCAAAGTACTCATTATACGGAAAAAAACGATATATCGGTAAAATTTGACTTCATTAAATCGAAATTCCTATCACACTATCACTTACACTCTGAAAATATGAAATATATCATTCTATTAAACATACGACACAGTTACAATAAATAAAGCAGGAATTAAACTCGTCGAGTCAATAACCTTATAAAATGACCAATCACTCTGTTCACCTAAGCTACCAAACTACGCGTTTAGACATGAACTTGTATTTATGCAAGTGCAAGTTGAAAGTACGAAAGCTCAAATTTACTAATCTCAAGCAAGCTATGCTACGAAATAATAGCACACAATTTATACCATCACTTCTACTGCTATCACTCATCTTCACGAGGTAGACCAATGGTTAGCATCGGTGACAGTCACGTCCTTGCTCCTTGAATGTGATCTCCCAGAAGAATATGTTCGACCTGTTGTACAATTACCCACTACGATTCACGCCGACAATACCTGCTCCGGTACACAGCGAAATCTTCGGAAGTGAGAGGTAGTATATCGATGGAGATCGAATTAGTGCCAGTTGAATTCCATCTTATTTTGATATCAACCCCGCTGATCAATCAGATGGTGAACGCAGATCTTGCGATAAAGGTCAGATCACTTGTTCCGGCTGGATTATCCGACGTATCCGGAATGAGTAATCAGTAAGTACGACAGACTAATCATCAATTCGAAAGAATTATTTTTTTATTCGGACGAGATGTGACCCGGATATTCGGATGGATTATATCAAAACGTTCGGAATGCACATACATTTATTTTCCAGCACGATAGTTCGACATCGGGTAAATTATTCGAGTCCCTTGGCCCTCGATTCGATTTCGTACCGCCTAAAATGTGCGAATCAAGGAATAATTATGAGCGATTAATTAATTCTTTACATCAACCGGTGGCCCACCGGCCCACCGGCGGTGGGCCGGTGAACGGGGGTTAAGTAGACCACAAGCTAAAGCTCGGCCCCGTGACGATTTCGCGCGAAAATAGTCCCATCTGTAGAAAATGATCGGAAGTGAGAATATTAATAATTATTAAGTCAAACCATATACCTGATCCGTCGGATCGTAGACATCCACGGCGGTGACCCTCGATCCGTGCCCCTCCCACAGACTCATCTCATTGGCCGCTGCTTCCTCAAGCAGTATATATGGGTTGAGTATGAAATCGTCTCGGCTACTCGAGGAGTGTTAGGTCTGCTCGGGGCGACCGGCAGGCGCGAGTGGAAAGCGAGGAAGCTCGGTCAGCACGCAGGATTTCGGATCCGATTTCAATTTTGGGATTTCGGTTGATTCTTCGGTGGATCGGGGCGGAGGAGAGCGCAGTGCGGGAGGAATTGGAGTCGGATCGAGCGCTGGGCATCGATCGCCATGGCGCCCAAGAGTCCGGAGCCGGAGAAGAAGGAGGGCGGAAAGAAGGGGGAGAAGAAGCCCATGAAGGGAAGGCCGAAAGCCGAGAAGAAGCCGGCTTCGGCCAGTGGCAAGGAGTCGAAGGACTCGAAAAAGAAGAAAGTGAAGAAGGGGACGGAGACTTACAAGATCTACATCTACAAGGTGTTGAAGCAGGTCCATCATGAGATGGGAATTTCGTCCAAGGCTATGGGAATTATGAATTCCTTCATCAACGACATCTTCGAGAAGCTGGCTCAGGAAGCTGCCAGACTAGCGCGCTATAATAAGAAGCCCACCATCACCTCACGTGAGATCCAAACAGCGGTAAGGCTGATTCTACCCGGAGAGCTGGCGAAGCATGCCGTTTCTGAAGGTACCAAGGCTGTCACCAAATTTACGAGCGCGTGAGTGCACAGCGTGTCCTTGTCACAAAACTGCAGTGTAGACCATTTCTCGTGCTGATTGCCAGCTTACTCGATCGGATCCAACTTGGTGACCTGCTAGGAGCTCGAGCCTGGACCCTTCACTCATTGGGGTACGTTTCACCTCTAGAGGTTTCTTTCACCGATTCAACATTTTGTACATAGTTGAGTGTTGAACGTGGGCTTGAAGTCAAATTAACGCTTCTAGATCGTCACGGAGTCTGGCTGGCCAAATAATGAATATAGAAAGGCCGGCTGTGCCAAACCCTTTTGCGAAGCAGAGCGGTATAGAAAGTAGACATTTTACTCTCTCATCCCAGTTGTGGATAAGAGTTTGTATCAGATATCCGAGCAAGTAATTATCATTTCCTCAGATCTTTCTCATCACGGTAGTTGAACCAATGTGAATTGGCGCCTGAAATCAGCGTTTAGTTTGCTGAAACTCCCACGAATGCATTACTGTCAAATGCGGCTCTTGGAATGGGCGAGCAATGTTCGGTGCTCATACACATAGACTCGATAGTGTTTGTATTTTCCTTCGAGCGATGTCTACGCGAACATTCTACAATCGCCACGTCGCCTCGAGAGAAGATAGTCCTTCATTTGGAGAATCAGATCGTGTGCACAATTGCACTTTTAGATTAGGCCGAAGAATTTAGAAGTCTCTTCGAGCATTGAATTCGAGTAGAGGTTGGAATTTCTCCAGTACATTTATACCTGTAAGCGTCGATCTCGGGGACATTACGACCAATTCCGGAATTCTCAGTTTTGGGAGAAAATCAATAAATCGCCACGTGCCTGTTCGTCCATGTTATGATCGGCAGAAAATCTTCTGCAGAAATTCCTCATGTGAATCTACTCACTCCATGTTTCTGTAGAATTACTGCCCAGTCTCTCATGGAGGAAAATGGAAGGTGTTATCAATGATGTGTACACGTAGTATATGACCCTCATCGAACTCGTCTAGACGTGCCATATTTTCTGATCGTTTAATGTCGTACTTTTGATAAACTTTTGATGGAAGATGATGAAAAGTTACTACCATGCAGTAAATCCCGATGAGATGAATGTGCGTACGAAGCACGTCGATCAGATGAAGTGCTAAGTACATCTGCACCAGCAATGACTTCTTTGTACGTAGCTACGTAAATTGATCGTACATGTTCTTTACCGATCGAGAACGAATCTCAATTCAGGTCTGAATTGATTGTCACCACTGGGAAAGACCCTCTGAATACACTCATCTACTGTACGAGGTCTTGACTCTTGGGATGTGCCAGTAGCAAACGTGAACTAGAAGCAGTAAAGACGATATATCAACATACTAGTTGATTGTCCGTCGCTGTTGAGAGTGTGAAGATAGGACAGATGAGTTACTTAGTTGGTGGTATAGTATGTTATCAGACTGTAAATCACATATTAAATAAAGAATCCACGTTATTCTGTAGTAATTAATTTATTTTTTAAACATAAAATTCACATCTTGTAATGCTTAGAATTTAAATAAAAAATTAATTGAAACTTTTGTCATTTACATTCGTGTTTTGATTTGTTACAGGAAGTCAACGTATGATCAATTGAATTAGTTAGGTAACATAATGAAAATATAATTATTTGAACGTATTAATTTCGTTGATTTTCTACACTATATTTTTAATTGAATATATATTATTTTTAGATAGAATATATATTTATTTATATCATTAAATTAATGTATTTAGAAAATATATAAATCAGATTAGCTTTACTCAAATGAGTGAAATTAATAAGAATGTCATCATTATATAAAAAATACTATAAATTGTACTTTTTAGAATTTTGAAGACAATTTTATGATTTTTTATTACATCCGAAAGTGATTTGTGTATTATATATGTTAAATTTCCGTTATTTTTTTTAGTGTGAGTGGGTTCACGTCCCCCTTGACTGATGTGACATGTTGTCACCTTGAATCTGAATACTTAATTATAATTATTATTGAAGATTAGGGTAATCATTATCAATCAAGATTAATGAAGAGGGTTAGCAAAACATAACAAGAAGATTATTTATGCATATATCAATATCTTATCGAACGAGTCATAGCAAAATCAAGATTGTTGAAAAAACAAAGACGGGAAGCAATGAAAGGTTTGAAAAGTCAAGTTTTTACAAATTCAGCATCACCATTGAGAGTATCAAGCAAATAAACACGATCGCACGATTGGGTAAATTCTGATACCCGGAATAAATAAGCAAGTGAAAGTTAGATTTAACAATAAATGACAATGTAGATTGACATGCTACAACCCCAAATATATTGAAAACTGACACTTTACAGCTTCAATCATTGACTATGAACGTAAAATTTAAACATTAATGAATAAATAACATTCTGAAAATATTAATCAATGACATTGAACATTTTGACAAAAAAATGTTGATCAATCAATAATTTGAGAATAATGATTGATAACATGTCAACTCAAACCTGAAAAATTTTGTGATCATTTTTGAGTTGATCACAAAATTTTTCAATTCAACATTTTTCCCAACACAATGATAATGTGAATTCAGGTGAAACAAAAACAATTTAAGATCAGTTTCTTTTTTCTTAACCTCAAACTGTATGATAAAATTCATGTTCAAAATTTGTGTAGAAAATCATCAGAAATTAATTTCATATTTAATTAAAAATAAAATAATATACCAAAAATAAAAGTTTGAAAATTGTATTTATAATATCATATCGTCAAAAAATAGATGATTATAATGATAACGTTACTAGCTTTTGTGCTTTGAATAAAAGTTGATCACAATAGAGACTTCTAAGATTGCATGTACACATTTTGTTGAACTATTTGATAAACTTCAACAACAAAAAATTCCCTAAAAATGTCAAATTGTATTCATTTAACTTTGAAAAAGATAGATTTCAAAATAAAAAACAACGTAAAATTTTGTTAAATTATTTCAAATTCAGTGAGCTAGTTGAATGATAAAAAGAATAATCTTTAGTTGTTGAATATATTGTTAAATTTATTCAATATTAATCATAAATGTTGCTTTATAATAATAGATTGATCATTGTAGTTGATGATTTTTTCATTGATATATGATCTTCAGTCAAAATAATGTTTCAGTTTTTGCCATCAATTTCATAAATTATAACCTTGATTACGAATTCACAAATGTAAAATAATGAGATCAAAGAGATGTAAGGTCAAATATAATTGAGAAAAAAAATTCAAAAGATCGAATGAGTTTGGTCGGTTGAAAGTGTGAAAAAAATTGACAAATAAAAAATAATTTTGTAAAAAATTTGAAACCAATTAACAAAAATTATACACATAATAAAAGGAAATTTACTTTATTGATGATAATTATGTTTTTTTAAGAATAATAATACATACATCACACTTAATCTGAATGAAAAAATGTGAAAGTAATATGAATTGCACATGTTCAAATCTCATGTATAATATAAAATAAATTTATAATTTATACTTGATTGTTATTTTTCTGTGCGCATATCAATTAATTTTAAATATATTTCTTACATAAGAAAAAGTTTATACTTTTGGATATGATGGATTCGTATTTCTATAAAAAGAAATTCTAGTTATTCTCCATTATTGTATGAACAAATATTTATTTGAAATAAAATAATCACTAAAATTTACATGTGCCAAAATATAATGGAATCTGTTAATACAGACCTACATGAGTAAAAAAATCAAACTGAATATAAATAATTATGAAAAATAAAATTTCTTTTTAAAAATTTTGTATCACAATATGATAGAATAAAATTTTGCAAGAATCATGTGCTAAAAATTCATTAAAGACTAATTTATTCAAAATGCGTAGTTCTAATGAGACATTGTAATTTAGAAAAATAGTGATGATTTAGATTCATACTTTACAGTGTTCACATTTTAGAATCTTCAATTGAAATCTTTGATCAATAATTATTTGATATGTTTATACATATTCAATACTAAAAATCCAAGATTTTTACACCTTTGAAGAGATAGAAACCCAATTCGACTATAAAATTGGTAAAATTGTGAAAATTTACAATCGGATATCGTCAAATCATAAACAAATGAAAAAATTAAAATATGTTTTTATTATTCAATAAAAACATAAAATATATTATCATATCACAAATATAAAGTGTACAATTAAATGATGTTGCTGAACCACTGATTAATCATTATTCAATCATAAATAAAAATAAAAAATAAAAATATATCAATGAAATGTTTCACAGAAATTTTGAATGCAAAAATTATGAACAAGCTAGCTTATTTGATAAAACGATTTTCTTTTAATAAAATAAATTTCAAGCTAGAAACTGCCAACTAATACAACTGTTTTGCAGTTTTTGGTTATACTGCATATGATCTTTTCATATTTTAATAATGTAATTCTAAAATGCATTTTCCTTTTCTGAGAATATATTATTATAAAATCGTATTGGATTTGGATGTCAAAGTGATCAAAATATTTACAAATGATTCAATTTATTCACGTGTAAGTTAATCGTCTATAAATGTTTAATGAATGTAATTTGTAAAAATAGAAGAGTAAAATCAAGCTTGTGACTCTATCAAAAAAAGATTTCTTTCTTTCCTACAAATATAGAATTTTATTTGATTTCGATGATTTTCAAAGTGACAACGAATTGTTTCATTAGAAAAGAAAATTTTTGGATTAAATTTATTTCAGAAGTATGAAAACACAGGCTAACTTCAACCCATGCCAACACTTGAAGAAAAAAAATTCATTTAATTAAGATATGAATAGTAGTATTACTTGTGCTCTTGAATAGTTTGACAAATGTACGGATATAACTCACTTAGAATTATTGATAAATTTCATAATGATGATAATGATATAGCTTTGATTAAATGAACAATCCTTAGATAATAAATCTCTAATTTTTTTTGATACACTTGAATACGATGCGACAATGTAGAGAGATTCAATGTTTGCTTGACATTAAAATTTGAAAGTTGGTTAAATTTTTGAATTATTGAAACTCTTTGTTGTGTTTATGTATTTACAACCTTAAAGAAAATGTTAATGATTAATTATATATATTTTGTATGTATATATATAGTTGATGGTCAATAAATTCATACAACATAAAGATGTGAATTACGTAAAATCCATATAATTTTTGTATTGACAAAAACAATTACTTAGCTTATTAAAAAACAAATGGATAATTTCAAAATACTCATGATTTCAGTTTAAATATACTTGATTCTTGTGCATACATGATAAAGAGTATGTTGGACTTTTATTTTTCATCATAATACTTTTGGTGATTACATGCTATTGTAACTAAAAATATATTTAACATTAATAAATGTTAAATTCACTTGATGCAATAAGAATATTTTGATATTAAACCTTTAAAAAAAATTACAAAAATCTAAAGTCATCATGAACACATTGCAAGTACAGTAGTCTCCCGGTTAAGTATGAATTTTGAACCCGGGAGTGCCGTGCGTACTTAACCGAGAGGTGCGTACTTAAGAAAATTGACTTCCTAATCGTTTGATTTGAGTGTAATGTCAAAGGAACCTTATATGAACACTCCTAAATGACTGGGCACTATTTGATATCATAGAGAAACTAAGCAAAATCATGATTCCATTGGAAGAGCTCGAACTTGCAAGTGACTTGATCATGAAGATGAGACAAACAGATTAAATCACAAAGCTAAATTGAGTTAATGTATGATGAAGTCAAAGAGAAGATTTTTTAATCTCACTCTTCTAACATCTATTAACACCGTCAAATAAAAAAATATT